GAAAATACCCTTTTTGTTGTACAGACTCTTTCCTGGTTCTAATCCCATCAGCATAAAGCATCAGCGTTTTAGCACTGGGTGAGAAAAGGGAAGCAAGGGGAAAGGTCCTACTTCTGTCTTCCTCCTGCATCAGGAATTTCTCTTCTTACCGTCACGTTTCACATCTCAGGTGACTCTGCTCCTGACCCATGTCCTCTGCCCACCCTGCCCCTCTGCCCCTTCCTGGTCACACTCCTTGAAAGCATTGGCAGCCCTCTGTTGTCACTGGCCGTCAGGTGCTTCGTAACCTGTTCCATTCAGGCGTTTGACTCCTAGCACTAAGGGAAAGTTACACTTGGCACAGTTTCCAGAAACCTCCATTTTGCTAAATCTAGGAGTCTCATCTTGAAAATGGATTATTAGATGATGTATGTTTGGTGGGAGGTGGGGAGGAGGGATAAAACTTATTTTCCTTTGCAGTTAGGGACTGCCTGTCTTTTGTATCCCATAATTAACGTTTGTGTTTCTCTCAGTTTTAAGACGATTATCTCCTACATTGACGAGCAGTTTGAACGGTACCTGCACGATGAGAGTGGCTTGAACAGGCGGCATATCATCGACAACAGGGTGCATTGCTGCTTTTACTTCCTGTCGCCTTTTGGCCACGGGTAAGTAGTTGCTTACTGCGGACACCTGCTCAACTACCTCGGTTCACAAGTTTCCCCAAACTGTATACTTTAACGTAACAATTAAGATAATTTTGCAAGAGAAAAAAGTTTTGTGTGATCTCATTTTTTCCCTAAATATGTGACACTTCTAAAATTATGTTTAGACTTAAACCCTTGGATGTTGCATTTATGAAGGCAATACACAACAAGGTGAATATCGTGCCTGTCATTGCAAAAGCCGACACTCTCACTCTGAAGGAGCGGGAGCGACTGAAGAAAAGGGTGAGTACAGGGCCGGCCTCCTGTTCTCCCTCGGGCTGACCGAGAGCCAGCTACCTGGGAGGGGAGGGGAGGGTGTGTCCACAGACGCCATCGGTCTGCTTAGACACGGGGAGGCAGCATTGGGGAATTCGTCCTGCATTTTGGTGGTTTTTAAGGACCACCTAATAGTTATTTTTTAATATTTTGCTTTAGTGAAGGTACCAAATTTCTGTTCTTTAAATTCTTAGATAAAAATACTCCCAATGAGTAAGTAGCTAAGTGCAAAGTGATTCCATAATGTGTTAGGAAAATGACACAAATGTGGAAGTATGATCTCTCCATGAAGTTTTATTATTTTACCTAAATACTTCACTAGAAAAGATCCATTGAACGACACATCCCTGTGTTTTATTTATGAAGGTGCCACGCTGCCGTTGTCGGCCAGCTGATGCACCTCGCACCCCCGCAGCTCCTGTGCTGACCTGTCCTCTCCGGTG